ATTACTCACACCGTGAGGATCACAGTATGAGGATCGTGTGATGTCACTGTGATCATCGCATGATCTCACGTGTTGACTGGGCAGTGTCTTCACAATATCTGCTGTGTTCAGCAGAAGAAAGAAACTCATACAGGTTTGGACCAACTTGAGGGTAAGTAAATGATGACAGAATTTTCATTTTTGGATGAACTATCTCTTTAAGTAACAAAGTAAATATATAAGTAATTAACGATGGTATGCAAGGGTGAGAAGCAGTAGTTCACCTGTTGCAGGACTGACCCTCCACATTAGTCTTGCAATGGCAACGTCCGTCTTCGGCTGAACATACTCCTACACTGCCCCTGTTGTCACACTCACACAACCTGTTTGAACACACACACACACACACACACACACACACACACACACACACACACACACAAACACACACACACACACAAAGGAAAGCTACAGTAATGTTTTATGCACTACAGCCTTAAAGCAATCAGAATGGCACACATACAGTGGTGTGAAAAAGTGTTGGCCCCCTTCCTGTTTTTTTTTATTTTTTGCATATTTGTCACACTTAAAAGATTCAGATCATCAAACAAATTTTAATATTACACAAAGATATATTTACTTGCATTATCTTTGTGTAATATTTAAATTTGTTTGATGATCTGAAACATTAAAGTGTGACAAACATGCAAAAAAATAAGAAATCAGGAAGGGGGCCAACACTTTTTCACACCACTGTATATTCACTTCAGGACATATGACAACACAGTTTTATTTTCCGTTAATTTTATCACACAAGATAATATGGCACTAAAATATTCCCAAAATCATTTATAATTATAATTCATCATTACCCCTAGTGCCTTTGGTTGTGCTTTGAAAAATCCTTTAAGAGCAGTACTGTGATATGCTCCTCTGGCCTGCTGTTCGTCATCACAAATAGCATTATCTTGTTTCACCTGTGGATTTACTTGGATGATAACTGTAGCTTTGTCAGTTGACATGAACTTGCTGCTTTCCATTCTTGGCAAAGTTTTCACCTGCAATTAAAAGGAAAGTTCACCAAAAATAATAATCCTGTCATTGCTTACTCACTCTCAAGTTGTTCCAAATCTGTATAGGTTTCTTTCATCTGTTAACCACAAAAGAAGAATTATTTGAAGAATGATGTTAACCAAACCTTTGACAGTAGCTACTGAAAATAAAAATAAAAATTATGCAAATCAATGGCTACCAGCTACTGTTTTGTTACCAACATTCTTCAAAAATCTTCTTTTGTATTCCACAGAAGGAAGAAATGTATACACCTTTGGAACAACATGAAGGTGAGTATATGAAAGAATTTTCATTTTTGGGTAAATTATTCCTTTAAGCCTTAAGCATTAAAATTCACAAATTGTCTGCTTTTCATGAACAGTATATCTGCATTTATATTTACAGCATTGTCTTGATTGATAAAACTGTGATACTGCCAGTGTTTCTAAAACAAGAAAATTACAAAGGCTTTGTTAGATTGCACTGTCATAAAAAGTAAAGGTAGAACAAATGCACAGCTAAAAATGTTATCACTGTAATGTATACTCATATAATACCTTGATTAAACACTTAAGATAAAAGTATAGAGAAGTTTTGACAAGGATCCAAAAAAAAAAAAAAAAACTTAAATGAGCAGCAAATTACACTAAAACAATAGCTGGTATGAAATATCACAAAAAGTCAAAAGATTATGGTCATTTGTAATTGATGTATATCAAAGTGTGTATATAAAGATACACTTTATAATTAAAATAATATTAAGTGTTACCTGAGCAAATGATAAATTAAATATATTTCACCTGAAATGAAATGAGTTGTGTTGATGTGGATGTCTGATCGTTCTTCTGGTGTATCTTTGTGTGTGTGGACTGTGAAGAACCGCTAAGGTGGAGCATGTGTGATATGATCTTGCATCATACTTTTAAGGATTATGTTGATGCCCTTCCTTATAAAATTCAAAGGGCTTTACATATACAGTGGGTACGGAAAGTATTCAGACCCCCTTCAATTTTTCACTCTTTGTTATATTGCAGCCATCTCTGTGACTGTTCTTGAATGGCCCAGCCAGAGCCCTGACTTAAACCCAATTGAGCATCTCTGGAGAGACCTAAAAATGGCTGTCCACCAACGTTTACCATCCAACCTGACAGAACTGGAGAGGATCTGCAAGGAGGAATGGCAGAGGATCCCCAAATCCAGGTGTGAAAAACTTGTTGCATCTTTCCCAAAAAGACTCATGGCTGCATTAGATCAAAAGGGTGCTTCTACTAAATACTGAGCAAAGGGTCTGAATACTTAGGACCATGTGATATTTCAGTTTTTCTTTTTTAAAAATCTGCAAAAATGTCAACGATTCTGTGTTTTTCTGTCAATATGGGGTGCTGTGTGTACATTAATGAGGAAAAAAAATTTACTTAAATGATTTTAGCAAATGGCTGCAATATAACAAAGAGTGAAAAATTTAAGGGGGTCTGAATACTTTCCGTACCCACTGTAGATAAAAACTACAAGGTAGCATAAATTATGGGCATTTGAGAACAAAAATAATATTACATAAACATACCCAATAATCCTGTAGTTGGGCACTCATTTATCAGTAAATGATGGAGTAAGGCCTTACATTTTTTCTTAATCAAGTCCAGAAGGGACCGACTTTAAATTAAATGATCAAAACTCAACAAACTGAAATATCACCTGAGCAATTACTGTCACATTAATTAAAGGGACACCGGAGCCCGAGACCAGATAGGCATCTAGGCTCTAGCTAAGCCCACCCAAATGTCTGACTTACCCAATCAAAACTTAATTTTTACAATTTAAAAGTAAATGCACATTACAATAGCCAATTTTTGCTGCATCACTTAATGTAAAGTGTTACTTCTCTCTCTATGAAAATAGGCTACATGACAAAACGATGGGCCTTGCCTGATGCAAAAGTTAACATTTTCAATATAACAAAATATTCATAAGTATTCTTGCCTGTAACACTATAACTGATACAAAAAAAAAATCAGGAGCAATAATTTGAGATATTAATTCCCAGCTTTTGGACTGTATGATCTCCTTACTGTGACTCAGTGTTCCTTGGAAGTAACAGAGAAGATATATTAGTACACAAGAAACTCAGGCTCTATCAGTTTTAATTTTTATAAAAACCATACACCATACAGTTTATTTTATAGGCTTCTGTCTTTGATAAATTATAAAGAGAAAACAATAAAGCATGTTGTGATTGACTTATACAGTAGTTCATCTATTTCATACAGTATGAGGTGCACTAAGGTTAAAGGCAGTTTACCATGAAACATTCTGGTCATTTTATATTTCCTTTACATTCTGCTAGTATTATCATTCTGCTTGTTCAGTGGAGCTGCATCATTCTCTAAAAACACTGACACAAATAACTATTGATTGTTGTGATAAAACTGATTGCCAAGCTCGTAATAGCAATAATAGCATCATCACCACTAAATCATTTACCTAGTTTAGTGCACATTGACCACTGTGGAGTTTTTGTTGCAGGCGGCTTTGCAGGAAAATGCTGAGATATAGATGGAGATAATGAACTGAGTAATGGTGAACACCAGCAATATTCCAGTTACCCTCATAGTAAAATACTACAAAAATTGAACAAAAAGTATATTGAAGCAGGAATCATTTTGAGCTAATTATGAGAGTTGAGAGTATCTCAACAATAAGAATATATATATATATATATATATATATATATATATATATA